ACATTCGTTCTGGTAATATAATATTATTAATATATAATATTATATAATATATATATATATATATATATATATTAATATATATATTAATATATAATTAATAATAATATTATAATATATTAATATATATTATATTATATAATATATTATATAATATGTGTATGTAATTAAATATTATTATATAATATTATTAATTATTAATATAATTTATTCTTCGTAAACGATTTGTTCTATTAATTGGAATAATTCTTTATAAAACGAAATATAGAAGATTCTTATTCGAATAAAATCTTAGTCGAACGAATTCTTATTCGAATAAAGCTCTTATTCGATTGAATTCTGTTTCGAGCGAAATCTTATTCGAATATTTCATCTACATAAATTTTGATTAAGATTTTCGATTGGATATTTATTCAATAGCGTCGAATAAAAATTCGTCAGTCTTGATTCGTCGCCCGAATAAAATTTCGTCGCTTTGAAATCGCTGAGCCGACTGCTTAAAGTCTGTCTAAATTCATGTGGACCGTGACGTAGCAGGTGGTTTATTTCGTTTTTGTTCGATGGAACCCTCGCACGAACGAGTTTACGCACACCATGCACCTCACGCACCGTTTCTGTTCCGTTCCCTCAGGGAAAATTGATGTACATATGTGGATCACACGGCGACTGAAACAATTTTACACGACTGTAACGCATGCTAGTGTGAAGAGTCCTAATATAGAAATGAGAGTAACGGTTGTGGATCGGTGGATACTGACTGACAGAATTTCAGTGTTGTGGTTGCGCCGTGACTGACGCTTACATAAATTGCGAGCGCGTGACGCGGGCAAGAACGTTACTGTCAGGCACACGCATTCGCGCCGTGCCGATGGGAACATTGTAACACGCAAGATGCTTAGAACTCGCGTATGGTAGTAATATTATTAGGAACTTGAAGATTTGAGAGCTTAAAATTTTCGAAGCTCGAGAAATAGAAGGGTTGAACATTTCTGTGGGGATCGGAAGATTTGAAAGCTTAAAAATTTGAAAGCTAACGAACTTGAAATTTGCGAAATTTGGATAGCTTAAAAATGTGAGAGCTTAATGTTTAAAAACTGAAACATTTCGAAGCTGGAAAATATAAAAAAAACTTAATATTTAAAAGCTGAAACATTTCGAAACCGGTAAATTTATAAAAAGCTTGAAAATACAAGAGCTTAGAATTTGTGAAGCTCGAATATTTGGTAGCTTAAAAATCCGAAGGCTTAAAATTTGTGCAGCTTGAAAAATCGAGAGGTTGAGAATGTGGAAGCTTGAAAATTTGAGAGCTGAAAAAATATGAAAGCTGCGAAATTTGGATAGCTTAAAAATGTGAGAGCTTAATGTTTAAAAGCTGAAACATTTCGAAGCTGGAAAATATAAAAAACTTAATATTTAAGAGCTGAAACATTTCGAAACCGGTAAATTTAAGAAGCTTGAAAATACAAGAGCTTAGAATTTGTGAAGCTCGAATATTTGGTAGCTTAAAAATCCGAAGGCTTAACATTCGTGAAGCTTGAAAAATCGAGGGGTTCAGAATTTGGAAGCTTGAAAATTTGAGAGCTGGAGAAATATGAAAGCTGCGAAATTTGGATAACAGAAAACTTTGAAGGGCTGAAAACTTTGAAGAGATAAAAAATGTGAGCTGCTGAAAATTCTGAAAGCTTCAAAATTGCGGAGCTTGAAATTTCAGAACCCGAAAGTTCAGCGCGAGTTCGCAACTGAACAACAACGTAAAATTAATCAGAACAAAAATTCGCCGAGAACGAAGTCTCGAAAATTTTTTGAAATGTACGCAAATTCGTCACACTCTCGCGAAGGTAAACAAATTACATCCTCCGACGCTCAGAGGCTCGGAGAGATTCCCAAGCGCCGCGGACTGCTAGTTTCAATGACAACAGCCGCGGAAAACAGGAAAACTGGCCAACGAGGCGCGCGAGGGAACACGGAAATTACGCGCGCGAATTAAGTCGGCGAATTCCCATTGTCCCGTCGCGAAACACTTTAAACTGGAAAGTTGCTCGTCGTGCGAAGAGAGAAGTGCACACATCTTTTTCCGGCTTTCATTAGCCGCCCTTTGTTCGCGGGGATCTGGCTCCGGTTTAGGATCGTTTTCCCGGCTGAAAGAAAGACCCCGTTACCTCCTTTGAACGACGTCAGAGCGGTCTGTTTAAGCAACGATGTCCGAATTAACGAAAACAATTAATGCAAACGAGCGTGGACGTAGAGCCGAGCCGGGTTGTCTTTCCGCGCCGGCCCGACTTCCGTGTGGAAGATCAAATTCTATCGGAATATTAACCCAGCCGTTAGCTTGTGCTTCTAATTATGCGATTCGCGCGCGGAAGTTCGAGCTGCGAACTGTTTCAGCCGGTTTCTTACTTCGCTATTATCCGACGAAAATATTATCCACTCTTGGAAATTCCCTGGTAACAATGGAACGATGAAACGATTTAAAACGCGACAACAATTCCGCCTACGTCGTCTCGCAGAAGTTGTTAATTACTTCGACTTAACCGGTCGAACAACAGGAAAATTGTATGGAAGGGATTTATCAAACTTTTTAGAACAATGGACTGATTTTGCAACTGCACTCTCGTGGCGCATACGGCTTCGATAAACATGGGGAATTATTTCTCAATCCAGTGCGCTTAATTTTAATAGCGCGTAGGATCAATAAATTAACGCTTTACCGATTTATCGAACGACTGTACTCTGTCCAAGGGAATCTCGATCATTTTCGCGTAATTGAATTGAAGTTACATGAAAACAATAATCGGCAGAAAAATGTAAATTTCAATAAACCGGATGGATAACGAGAGATGGCTTAAAGATTAATCATATAAACAATGCCTTTCCGAACACTTAAGAATCATCATTAACGAGGAGATTTAATACTTGTTGAAAAAGAAAAGGGCTGATTGTGTATGAAGAATAAAAACCAAATTATCGTAGTTCGATTATTTCTGTAAACTTTAATGGATTACGTATGAGATTACGTTTCGAACAATTTAAAAAAATTATTAAAGAAATTCCTAAATCAGTAAACGGCCGGTAAAGCGTAAATAAAAATTATTTGCAGAACAGAGCGATCGCAGGCGGCGTAATTTCGTAAATTTCGTTGCTTCGTCGCGATTTATCGGAGGACGAGGATTTCCGAGGATATTCAATTGCAGGCGATCTAACTCGAGCGATCCTCGAAGCTATCGATTAATTAGCGTTGCAAATTGCGAGACGGTTCAGCGCTGCTTGAACTTGGTCGCTGGGTCCGACCTACGCGACGAGGCGAGACCAGAAAAAAGAAAAAGAAGGAAGGAAGGGTTTGCGAACGGTTTAAGGAACTGAACGAAGAGAAAGGTGCGCTAATTGCAAGGCAGCGGGCCGAGTACACGAATCAGAATGGACTGGAGGGCCGGGGATTCATTATGCCGGGACTCCTTACCTCGGCTCCCTTTGTTTTCACAGCACTCGACGCCTGGCCGCGCGAGAATCGACTGAATAAGGGCCTCGGATGGCCGATGTCGCGACTGAACGCTGTGTCACCGGGATACGACACCCCGAGAAAGTTAATTATGCAAAGGACCGGCGAGGAATCGAGCTGAAAGCCCGCAAAGTCGATCGGCAGAGCGCCTTTCACCATCGCGAATAAAATAAACTCCATGAAAATCCGAGCAAAGGATTATTAACGGAGGTATTGAACATTTTCTGGCTGCCAGGATCAAATAACTGAATATTCATTGAAGTTTCAGAACGATAAAGAGGAGCTGTTTCTCCTTTATTTTCTACCATTGCTGTTCCAATGTGTGAGATCAGTTGTACATCGTTGTTAACGCTAAACCCACCGAGCATTAAAAATGAAAAACTTCTGTTGCCTTCTAAAAATGACAAAATTAAATTGATTCAGACGTCTCCTTATTTCGATTATAATGTATACTTAAATTCGAAAATTTGTCGAATCATTTCCAATGAAATAATCGTCACGATTTCAACAATTTTTAAATGAAAAATGTGAAATCGATCGTCCCGTCTGGCACGGTAAGTTTAGTGTTAAAATGAACGGCATTTAATACAAGCAAATACATGAGTACGTTCTGTATAATATGTTAATAATACATTTAGTTCTTACAATACGATATTAGAATTATGATTGTTCAGATATAAAAAAAAACGTATGCATTATTTCTTAAATCAATCTCGCTATTCTCAGCGACATTTTCTGCTACAAAAGTC